TTGCCTCCCCTTAATCTGGACCAATCTTGTCCTTCATGGCATCGACATTTCTGAAGTCTACACACCAGTTATTTATAGAATGTCCTTCACTTTGCATTTGTCTGATGTTTCCTCCCGATTAGACATTTTTTTGGCAGTGATATTTTGTCCTCTGTGCATATCAGGAGGCACGTGATGTCCGTCTGTCCCTTGCCAGCACTGTTCGTTGTGATTTTTAAAAATTTATCTTTTTATTGAGGCATAATTGACGTATAACATTATGTTAGTTTCAGGTATACAATATAATGATTCAATACTTGTATGTGTTGCAAAATGATCACCACCATACGTCTAATCACCATCCGTCACTCTACATAGTTACAAAATGTTTTTGTTTTTGTGATGAGAACTTTTAAGATCTAGTCTCTTAGCAGCTTTCAAATGGTCACTACAGTATTATTAACTGTAGTCACCAAGCTGTATGTTACACATCCCCAGGACTTATTTATCTTATAACTGGAAGTTTGATTGAATAGTGATTATTTTAACTTTAAATTTAATCCTGGATGGTCAGTCATGTGAAGCATGTGAATCTAGTAGAGCCCAGGAAAGGGAACAATCCCACAAGATCAACCAGAGGAAGAGGGTAAGGAATGGATGGCCCAGGTTGGAGGGAGAGCATGAAAAATGCACCATAGCCCGGGACACGTGCCCAGTCCATCCCAGGCAAGCCCAGAGGGACAACGGGGGTGTGTATGCGGACACCCCAAGGGAGGCTGCTGGCCTCTGTCCAGGGAATGGCCCTCACCACCTCCAGCCACTGCTCATGCCCTTTCCTACCAGCCTCTGGTCACAGCCAGGTTGACAGGAGAGATCAGCCATAGGGCAGGAGGCTCAGAGGCTCAGGGAAAAAAGGATGAATCAGATTGTGGGTTGGCCCCTAGAAAAGAATGGGGCAGGTTCCGCATCTGCACCCTGTCTCAGAGTTCCCCCAGCCTGGGAGCTTGTGTGCATGTGAACCTGGCAGCCAACAACTCTCAACTCACTAAGGAAGGAGTAATAACCATAAAGTGCACCTTTATTTAGTCCTCATCTTTGTACCGTCAGGACTGGTCCATATTATGTCAATCTCAAACAAGCCCTGGAAAGGACAGTGTTCCTTTCCCTTTCTGACTGTTGGGAAGACTGAGGTTCAGAGATGTTCAGATACTTAGCCAAAGTCACACAGCTTGGAAGAGCCAAGATTTTAATCTAGTTCTTTCTAGTTCCAAATCATTGAATCTTTTTTTTTTTAATCTTGCCATTTTTTTTTGTAAGTGGCAGTTTTGAAAGGGTACTGCATTTACATTGCCCCAAACCCAAAAAGTCTAAAAAGAGATGCTGAAGTCCCTCCTTCCTAATCATGTGTCTACACAAAACTTTGTTTTGAGAATGTTTATCCAGGTTTACTACTCCTCACTTTTGAGGGTTTTTTGTATGTTTACATATCCTCATTTAAAAAAATTGTTATGGACATGGACTCCTGGGTGGTTCAGTTGGTTAAGTGTCTACCTTTGGCTCAGGTCATGATCCCAGGGTCCTGGGATCAAGTCCCGAATCAGGCTCCTTGCTTGGCGGGGAGACTGCCTCTCCCTTCTGCCTGCCCCTCGCCCTGCTTGTGCTCTCTCTCTGTCTTTAAAAATCTTTAAAAAAATTAAAGTAATCAAAAACATATGTTGGCTAACTGAACATAATAAAAATAAATAAATAAATGAAAATAAAATAAAAAATTGTTATGGACGGAATGTTTGTATTCTCTTACAATTCATATGTGGAAAACCTAACCCCCCAATGTGATGGTATTTGGAGATGGGGGCTTTTGCAAGTGATTAGGTTATGAGGGTGGGTTCCCCATGATGGCATTGGTGCCCTTATAAAAAGAGACACAGAGAGACATATATGAGGATGCAGCCGGAAGGCGGCTGCCTACAAGCCAGGAAGAGAGCTCTCCCCAGGAACCAAATCTACCAGCACCTTGATCTCGGACTTCCCAGCCTCCAGAACTGTGAGAAATAAATGTCTGTTGTTTAAGCCACTCGGCCTGTGGCATTTTGTTACAGCAGCTGAAGATGACTAATATAGCATGTTAAAGTCGAATCGGCACGGCCATAACATGGCGCATTTCAAGGGCACAACGTAATTGACAGTGACATATGAATATGCCTGTGAAACTATCACCATAATCAAGGTAATGGACGTATCCATCACACCCAAGCTTCCTTGCGCCTCTACCGCATCCAAGCTTCTTTGCATTTCTTGGGAACCCCTCTCACTGGCTCCTCCCACTTCTCTGTGTACTCATGACTTGCTTTCTGTCACTCCAGAGTATGTTGCCTTTTCTAGAATTTTTATACCAATGCCATCAGATAGAATGCCCTCTTTTTTTGTCTGGCTTCTTTCACCCAGCGTGTTTACTTTGAGATTCACCCCCGTTGGAAATCAGTAGTATATTTATTTTTAATGATAATATGGATCAATCACAGTGTCTTTATCCATTCATCTGTTGAAGGACACTTGGGTTGTTTCCCAATAAATAAATTTGCTATGGACATTCATGTACAAGATTTTGATTGGATAATGCTTTCCTTTCTTTTGGGGGATTTTTGAAGATTTTATTTATTTATTTGACAGAGAGAAACACAGTGAGAGACGGAACACAAGCATGGGGAGTGGGAGAGGGAGAAGCAGGCTTCCCGCTGAGCAGGGAGCCTGATGAGGGGCTCATCGCAGGACCCTGGGATCATGACCTGAGCGGAAGGCAGACGCTTAAAGACTGAGCCACCCAAGCGCCCTCTTTTGGGGGATTTTTAAAAAATATTTTATTTATTTATTTGAGAGAGAGAGAGAGAGTGCATGAGGGGGATGGAGCAGAGGGAGAGGGAGAAGCAGGCTCCCGCTGAGCAGGGAGCCCAACGCAGGACTCAATCCCAGGACTCCAGGATCATGACCTGAGCCCAAGGCAGATGCTCAACTGACTGAACAACCCAGGTGCCCCTGGGGGAATGTTTTTTTAAAGATTTTATTTTATTTTATTTTTTAAAGATTTTATTTATTTATTTGACAGAGAGCACAAGTAGGCAGAGAGGCAGGCAGAGGGAGAGGGAGAAGCAGACTCTCCACTGAGCAGGGAGCCCGAGGTGGGGCTCGATCCCAGCACCCTGGGATCATGACCTGAGCCAAAGGCAGCCACTTAACCGACTGAGCCACCCAGGCGCCCCATAAAGATTTTATTTTTAAGTAATGTCTATACCTAACATGGGGCTCTAGCCTACAACCCTGAGATTAAGAGTCACATGTTCTACTGACTGAGCCAGCCAGACGTCCCAGGAATCTTTTTTTTTAAATTTCACATTATAATTATTTTTATGTATTTATTATTATTTTTAAAGTAATCTCTACACCCAATGTGGGGCTCAAACTCAAACTCATGACCCCAAGACCAGAGTTACATGCTCTACTGACTGAACCAGCCAGATGCCCCTAATTTCAAATTTTAATTTTAATTTGCCTAGCACTCCTCTTCCGTATTGCTCAGTTCCCTGCATAAAATCAGTGTCAAGAGTTCTTTCTCTATCCTTCTTGTGTTTATTTAGACAGATATAAGCAATGCATCCAAGACCTTTTTGCACAGAACATAGTATATTGCATGCACTGTTTTGTATCTTTCTTCACTTGACATAAATCTCAGAGTTCTTATCAGTTATTTGCTTGGGTGTATAGTATTCCATTTATGTTTGTACTATAATTTATTTAACCAGGTCTCTAATCTTTTGCTACCACAAACCACGCAGTAATAAATAACCTTGCAGGTTGCCATGTTGCACTTTGCAATTAGACCTTCAGAATGAATTTCCCAAAGTGGAATTACTGGGTCAGAGGGCATGTATATTAGTAATTTTGATAAATATTACCAAACTGCCCTCCATGGAGTTCGGCCAGTGTATGTTGGCACCAAAAATGTATGAGAGCACTTATTTTCCCTCAGCATTGCCGATAAAATGTCTTACTAAACTTCAGGACTTTTGCCAATCTGATAGGCAGAAAACGGCATCTCACCATTTAATTATCATCTTAGCACAAGATTATCTTTTCAAATGTTTAATAGCCATTTCTATTTCCTTTATCCTTTTTTTTTTTGAAATTGGCATGTTCTTTTTCTTACTGATTTCTAGCAGCTCCTTCTCAGTCAGATTGTTTCTGGGATATGAATTGCAAACTTTTTTCAGTTTATATATATACATATATATATAATTGCATATATATGAAATATACATGTGTATATATATCATTTATATATATAAATTTATACTTAACATATAAATATATAAAGAATAAATTTATATGTTAACATACACTTATATATAAGTAAATATATAATTTTTCAGTATATATACTGAAAAAATATAAATAAATAAATATTTATTTATTTATTTATTTTAAGAAGGCTCCACACCCGACGTGGGGATTGATCTCCCAACCCTGAGATTAAGAATTGTATCCTCTTCAGACTGACTCAGCCAGGCGCCTCTTTGTTCTGAATATATGTGTGTGTGTGTGTGTGTGTGTATTTTGGTGCAAAAACTTGATTTTATTAAAGCATGGGGACAGAACCAGTGGGCAGAAAGAGCTGTTGCCTGCTCTGAATATATTTTTGCCATAGAGAAGTTTTATTTCTGTGTGAGAGAGAAAGAAGAAACTTTTTTTTTTTTTACTTCTGGGTTTTAAGTCACAGAAAATCTTACTTTTGCAAGATAATTCTCTCTTTTTTTTGTTAAACATTTATGGTTTTATTTTTATGCATAAATATTTGATTCAAACCACAACATTAAAAAAAAATAATCCCTATGCCCAAAGTAGAGTTGGGATCCAACTCACCATCCCAAGAGCGAAAGGTGCTCCCAAGAGCGAGAACCAGGTGCCCCCTAAACTACAACATTGTAATGAACTAGTTACACCACCTCCTTAAACAATGATTTGTTGCAACGGTAACACTCAGGAAAAACCTAAGTGTTTCAACATTAGGGAAAAGACCTAGAGTGCAACACACTTTCAAACTGCAAGCTAGTTTAAGGAAGCAGCTAGTAACCTGGGAAAAATATAGGGTGTGCTAAATGAGAAATCCAAACTGCGTAACCAGTGGCATTCCAATTTCTCTTTTTAAGCATGTCTATGAGAAAGGAAGCTGGTGAGAGACACACAAACAGATGAATAACCTCAGGCAGGGCTTCTGTGGGCACATTCATTCACTAGGATATTTACTGATGCTGTTTCACAGAAGAGAGGAAGCCATGGACATCACCACTGATAAAGTTGCCTTGCTGAAAAATCAAACTTGAAGCTGAAAAAATGTCTAGAATTAGTTCACCATTCAAAATAATAACAATGAGGGGGGCCTGGGTGGCTCAGTCGGTTAAGCGGCTGCCTTCGGCTCAGGTCATGATCCTGGAGTCCCGGGATCGAGTCCCGCATCGGGCTCCCTGCTCGGCGGGGAGTCTGCTTCTCCCTCTCCCACTCCCCCTGCTTGTGTTCCCTCTCTCGCTGTGTCTCTCTCTGTCAAATAAATAAATAAAATCTTAAAAAAAACCCCAACAACAACGAGTTACCTGTGGCTTACAAGCGCTTGAAATGTGGCCATTCTAAGTTGAGATGTGCTCTAAACAAGATGCCAGATTTGGAAGACTTGGCTGAAAAAAGAAAAGAAAAGAAAGGAACGTGAAATATTTGACTAATTTTTAAAAAGATTGTATTTATTTATTTGAGAGAGAGAGAGTGATAGTGAGAGAGAGCACGAGCAGGGAGGAGAGGGAGAAGCAGACTTCCCGCTGAGCAGGGAGCCCAACATGGGGCTCGATCCCAGGACCCCAAGATCATGACCTGAGCTGAAGGCAGACACTTAACTGACTGAGCCACCCAGGTGCCCCTGACTAATTTTCAACATTGATTGTGTGTTGGAATATTCAAATTCTGGATGTGTTGGGTTAAAATTAAATGATCACAATAAATTTTACCTTCTTTGCTTTGCCTTTTAAAATTAAAGTGGCTAGAGGCTCCTGGGTGGCTCAGTAAGTTAAGCAACTGCCTTCCCCTGGGGTCATGATCTCAGGGTCCTGGGATGGAGCCCCATGTCTGGCTCCCTGCTCAGTGGGAAGCCTGCTTCTCCCTCTCCCTCTGCTGCTCCCCTGCTTGTACTCGCTTGCTCTCTCTTGCAAATAAATAAAATCTTAAAAAAAAATCCAGTTGGGAAGGAAGTGGGAAAATGGGAGGTGATGAAGCAAGATTGGGTTGATAACCCCGTGTCTATGTTTTATATATATATATATATACACACACATATTTTTTTCATTGTGGGAGAAGATATATATCATAAAATTTACCATTTTAACTACTTTAAGTGTAGTTTAGTGGCATGAAGTACACTTCTCTATTTTTTTTTTTTTTTGGTTTTAAAATTCTCCAAAATAAAAGTCAAAATAAAAATTTCGACAGAGCAAATGGTGATCAAAGTAAAATATGCTGGTGGATCTCCTTTTGAGTTCCCAGGAGGGCTGGTGCAGCAATTTTTGTTTTTCTCTTTAGCTTCTTAAATATCTATAGTGAATATGTTAATTTTTAGAGATTAGTTTTTTATAACAATAAGAAAAATTTAAGTTGGCATTTTTTGTTCCAAAGGAAAATTTCTTCGCAGCTACTCGGCGCACAAGCGCCGCACCGCCCCCTGGTGGCAGATCCGAGAGCGGCCCTTAGGCTTTCCATATCCGCTACTCCAGACCCGGGAGGGAGGTGAGGTGCTCTAGGCACCCCTTGTGCGCGACTCGGGAAGGCAGCGGGGCACCCACGGAGGCCTCGGGGGCTTGGCCTAGGAGATGAGAGATTCAGAGGAGCAGTCAAAGGGGGAGATGTGGAGATGATGAGTAGCAACTTTCCTCTTCCTCCTCCTCTCTGCCCTTCCTCCTTCTTTTAGGCCATTCATCAAACATTTATTGAAAACCTACTGTGTGCCACGCAATGGGGACAAAGGTCCTTGCCCTACCACAAGGACCTGACACAATAACAGTGTCTGAGGGACATACAAGTAAGGGGAATATATAGCATATTACATGGTGATGAATACTAAGGAGAAAAATAAATCCAAAAAGGGAATCATTGGAATAGAGGGACGCTTGCAATTTTAAGTAGAGCAGTAAGTCAAGCAGATATCTGGGGGAAGAGCATTCCAGTGCAGAGGCCCTGAGGCAGGAACGTGGCTGATGTGTTTGAGGAACATAAAGAGGATCCATGGAGAGAGAGAGAGAGAGAGGGAGAGAGAGAGATTTTTTTTTTCTCCCAGATATGACCCATCCTATACCTAAATACTTCAATTTATATTCCCTGATAAGAAAGACACTCTCTTACAAAGGGTTTCTCTGCCTTGTCACTGTTGACATTTGGGCTGGAGAATTCTTTGCTGTGGGCGACTGTCCAATGCATGGTCAGATTTTTAGCATCCGTGGCCTCCACCCACTAGATGTCAGTAGCATCTGACTATTACCCCCCCCCCCCCAACTAATAATGTCCGCGGGGTAACAGAACTGCCTCCAGTTAAGAAACATTGCTTATACAACCACGGTACAATGGTCACAATCAGAAAATTTAATATTGATATAATATTGCTATCTAAACTACAGATTGTGTTCAAATTTTATCAATCGTCCAATAAGAGCCTTTAGAACAATGTTTATTTTCAGCTCTCTGGTCTAATCCAGGATCATGTATTGCATTTGGAGGCCATGCCCCCTGCTTTTCAAATTAATTAATTACTTAATTAATTTTGAGAGAGAGAGAGAGAGAGTTGGGGGGTGAGGGGCAGAGGGAGAGGGAGAAAGAGAATCTTAAGCAGGCTCCATACCCAGCACAGAGCCTGATGCGGGGCTCAATCTCATGACCCTGAGATCATGACCTGAGCCCAAATTAAGAGTTGAGTGCTTAACTGAGTGAGTCACCCAGGCTCCCCGTTGCCCTTTTAACTTCCTTCACCTGGAACATTCTTTCTCCTTTACCTGTCTTTTGTGACTGATATTTTTGAAGATCATAGGCCAGTCATTTTATAGTATGGCCCTGTTTGGGTTTGTCTGACTTTTCCTCATGATTAGATTCGGGTTCTGCATCTTTGGGAAGAATGCTGCCAAGGTGATGATGTGTCCTCTGTGCATGATATCAGGAGGCAGGTGATATTCATTTGCCCTTTTACCAGCCATTTTAACTACCTTCACCTGGGGCAGACCCTATCTGTTTCTCATCTGCAGCCTTACAATTTTCTCCTTTGTAATCAATATGTATTGTATGGGCAGATATATTGAAGCTATGCAAAGATACTGTTTCTCCTCAGACTTTCACCCATTAGTTTCTTGCCTGCATCATTGTCCAGATTGGTTGCTTTAAATTGCTTTAAATAAATACTGAATAAGGACAAAAGGCTACTTTTAACCTAGGTGTGAAGTGTATGAAATAACACTGCAACACACATTTGTGTAACTTTCAACCAGGCTAAGAAGGAGACCCAGCAGAAGGAGAGAAACTCCAGCACCACTTCTGCCTGGTGAAAGATACAGATTGTTCAAAGCTCAGGGGTGGGGCAGGAGGGCAGCAAGGAAGCCTGGGGGGATGGGGTCCTGGATTAACTGGACATGGATTCCAGAACTGTTCAGGTGGGGCAGCTAACAGGATGTGGACGGGCTGGATTTGGAGTCTGCAGAGGAGGATGGTGGCTGAGGCTGGGGAGTGAGTGAAAGGAGATACTGTCCTTCCAGACTCCCAACTGGCGCCAGTCAGCTCTCAGGTTTGGGGGAGTGAGTGTTGAGGGGTAGACACAGCCACTCTGGGGCAGCTGGACAGTCCAGGCTGGGGTGCGGGCTGCTCTGGAGTTCCCAGGAGGCCCTTGATCTGGCAAAGGGGCTGAAAGTGGCTCCCAAGGGGTTCATGTGAGTCTGGAGTGGCCAGGGGCCCCCCTCTCTTCTCCTCTGGCTCAAGCCTCAGCTGGATAGGATGGGACAGAGAAGTGTCACATTTTCTACTGGAATGGTGTTTGGAAACTGGAAAAAATAATGCTTAACTTTTTGAGGAACTACCAAATCGTTTTCCAGAGTGGCCGTGTCCTATTACCCTCCCACCAGCAATGGATGAGGGTTCCGATTTCTCCACATTCTTGCCAACACTTATTTTGATAATAGCCATCCTGGTGGGCGTGAAGTGCTATCTCATTGTAGTTTTGATTTGCATTTCCCTAATGACTGGTGATGTTGAACATTTTTTCATGTGCTCACACAGCATGTATTGTATATGGTATTCTCCCCTTTTCCACGGAGCGTATGCGCCAAGACCCCCGATGGAGACCTGAAAATGCGGAACGTACTGAATCCTATATACTATATATACTGTATTTTCTCTTATGCGTATATACATATGACAAAGTTTAGTTTATAAATGAGGCACAGTAAGAGATTAACAATAATAACAAATAATAAAATAAGACAATTATAACAATATACTCTAATAAAAGTTGTGACGGTGGTCTCTCTCTCTCTGAAAATATCTTAAATTGTACTGTACTCACCCTTCTTTCTGTGATGATGTGAGGTGATAAATTACCTAAGTCATGAGATGAAGTGAGGTGAACGACATCGGCATTGTGATGTAGCGTTAGGCTACTATTGAGCTTCTCACCACGTTGGGAGGATCATCTGCTTCCTGACCATGGTTGACCGCAGGTAACTAGGACTATGTAAAGCATTGGGGCGCCTGGCTGGCTCAGTAGGTGGAGCATGTGACTCTTGATCTAGGGGTCATGGTTTGAGCCCCACGTTGGGCATAGAGATTACTTAAAAAAGTAAAATAAAGAAATAAACCTTTTCCTTCTCCTCCTACTACAAAGAAGTCCTCCCCCCCCCAAAAAAAAAACCCATAGAAAGTGAAACCGTGGATGGGAGGGGTGACTACTGTATCTTCTTTGGAGAAATATATATTGAAGTCCTTTGCCCATTTTTGAATTGGATTGTTCATCTTTTGGTTGTTGAGTTGTAGGAATTCTTCATATATTCTGGACATTAATCCCTTATCAGGTATATGGTTTGCAAATATTTTCTCCCATTTTGTGGGTTGTCTTCTCACTCTGTTGATAGTGTCTTATGATATTGTATGATTATATATTGTGATTATTACATATATTATGAACTATATATTAAAACCTATGTTATAGGGTATGCACATTATATGTACATGTAAAATATAATATATATCCCCTCCAGCTCTGTTCACTAAAAAGTCTGGACACAATTACCAACCCAGTAATGAACATTCCTAGCACCCAAACTAATATACCTTCTCACCAAAAGAAACTAGAGTTTCTTGGAGTTTCTATCTGATGCAAGTGAGGGACAGAAGGTGTCTGAGATGCGCCTGGAACATCTGGTCATACGAGAGAGCAAGAGCACTATCAAAGACCACTAGAGGGCGCCTGGGTGGCTCAGTTGGTTGGACGACTGCCTTTGGCTCAGGTCATGATCCTGGAATCACTGGATCGAGTCCGGCATCGGGCTCCCTGCTCGGCGGGGAGTCTGCTTCTCCCTCTGACCCTCCCCCTTCTCATGTGCTTGCTCTCTCTCATTCTCTCTCTCTCTCTCTCAAATAAATAAATAAATAAAATCTTTTAAAAAAAAGACCACTACAAACATTTTATTTTATTTTTTAAAAGATTTTATTTATTTATTTTGAGAGAGAGCGAGCATGAGCAGAGGGGAGGGGCAGAGGGAGAGGGAGAAGCAGACTCCCCGCTGAGTGGGGAGCTCCATGTGGGATTCGATCCCAAGACCCTGGAATCATGACCCAAGCCGAAGGCAGACACTTAACCAACTGAGCTACCCAGGTGCCCCCATTTGGTTTTATTTTAAAGATTTTATTTATTTATTTGAGAGAGAGAGAGCACAAGCAGGGAGGAGGGGAGGAAGGGAGAGGGAGAGGGAGAAGCAGGCTCCCAGGCAAGCAGGGAGCCCCACTCTGGGCTCAATCCCAGGACCCTGGGATCATGACCCGAACTGAAGACAGACACCTAACTGACTGAGCTACTAGGTGTCCCCACTAGAGACATTTGAAACAGGTCCCAACCTGCAAAGGCTCCCACTGGCCAGGTGGGCCCATCAGTGAGGATAACTACAATGGACTGAAACATGATGTGTTTAAATCCATAAACTTGTGATGACTTTTTTATTTTTATTTTTTTCCTTCTCTAAGTTTTTATTTATATTCAAGTTAGTTAATACATAGAGTAGTATTGGTTTCCGGAGAATTTAGTGACTCATCACTATATAACACCCAGTGCTCATCATAACAAGTGCCCTCCTTAATGCCCATCACCCCTCTAGCCCATCTCCCACCCACCACCCCTCCAGCAACCCTCAGTTTGTTCTTTATTATTAAGGGTCTCTCATGGTTTGCCTCTCTCTCTGTTTTTATCTTGTTTTATTTTTCCTTCCCTTCCTCTATGTTCATCTGTTTTGTATAAGGACTTTTAAAATTATTATTATTTTTAAGATTTTATTTATTTATTTGACAGAGAGAGAACTAGCGAGAGAGGGCACACAAGCAGGGGGAATGGGAGAGGGAGAAGCAGGCTCCCCGCCAAGCCAGGAGCCGGACGCGGGGCTTGATCCCAGGACCCTGGGATCATGACCCGAGCCGAAGGCTGACACCTAATGACTGAGCCACCCAGGCACCCCTATAATGACGTTTTTTAAATAAAGATTTTATTTTTAAAGTAATCTCTACACTCAACGTGGGGCTTGAATTTACAACCCCAAGATCAAGAGTTGCACACTCCACCGACCTAGCCAGCCAGGCGCCCCCATAATGACATCTTTATTTATTTATTTATTTATTTAAAGATTTTATTTATTCATTTGAGACACAGAGATACAGAGAGAAAGAGAGCATGAACAGGGGGAGAGGGAGAAGCAGGCTCCCCACTGAGCCAGGAGCCCAATGTGGGGCTCGATCCCAGGACCCTGGGATCATGACCTGAGCCGAAGACAGACGCTTAACCATCTGAGCCACCCAGGCGCCCCCATAATGACTTCTTTAAAAAGCCTAGTTCATCACCTTCAGAGGATGATGGGGAATGAATTCATTATTTTGAAGAGTGGTATATGAAGGGAAAAAAATTAAGCACTTGTCTTGCTTTTCTTTTCTTTTCTTTTTTTTTTTTAAAGATTTTATTTATTTATTTGAGAGAGAGAATGAGATAGAGAGAGCATGAGAGGGGGGAGGGTCAGAGGGAGAAGCAGGCTCCCTGCCGAGCAGGGAGCCCGATACGGGACTCGATCCTGGGACTCCAGGATCATGACCTGAGCCGAAGGCAGTCGCCCAACCAACTGAGCCACCCAGGCGCCCATTGTCTTGCCTTATATGAATGTTCCACTGGGTAGCCAAATGGGATGCAAGGAGGAGCATCTGGCAGGGGAAGAATTCTAGATTATTAGTGAGGAAGAAAGACTAGGAGGGCATCACTGTGTTGCCACCCCGAGAACCGCTGGGTCAATGGCTGCTAGCCCCATGCCGGAGAGACAACTAAAGCATGGGGCTTTGGTGGAAGACCCTAGCACACCCCGAAGTTGTGCCAGAGGAGCAAGCTTGGGTCTGACCCCAGGTCCAGACCCAACTGCCAATTTGCAGGGAATGTGGAGGACAGAGGAACACAAGTGTGGGATCAGCAATACCCGGTCCGTTGGAAATGCTCCAGGACAAACAGCCTGAGTTGAGCAATTGATTCATTGTAAGGGAAGGAATGGGCGGGGGGGGGGGGGGGGGGGGAACGACACTGTGAATTAAAAGAGACTTAAAAGACATATCATTTCCTTTTTGGATGTGCAAGACTAAACTACAGTGTCTGCAGACTCCTACTTGGGTGACAGGCTATTCAGAAACAAAAAGCAGGAATTATTACAAAAGTCACAACATTGGGGGCACCTGGGTGGCTCAGTCATTAAGCATCTGCCTTTGGCTCAGGTCATGATCCCGGGGTCCTGGGATCGAGCCCCGCATCGGGCTCCCTGCTGGGCGGGAAGCCTGCTTCTCTCTCTCCCACTCCCCCTGCTTGTGTTCCCTCTCTCTCTGTCAAATAAATAAATAAAATCTTTTTTTTTTTTTTAAAGTCACAACAGTGGTTACTTTGTAGAGTGAGGAGTCACTGGGATTGGGATGTGGGGCATGGAGGGACTTCTAGGGTCGCTGGTGACACGCTACGTTTTGACCTGAGTGGGGGTTATCATGATGCTCACCTTCAAGCTGGGTTTCTCAAACTCAGCACTCTGGACATTCAGGCCAGATAATTCTTGGTTGGGGTGGGGGTGCGTGTGCCCTGCGTATTGCAGGATGTTTGGCAACATCCCTGGCCCCCACCCACTAGATGACAATAACAGCTCTCCCCCACCCCATCATGACAATCCAAAAATGTCTCCCAGATATTGTTGGATGTCCCCTAAGAACAAAATCACCCCTGGTTGGGAATGCCCTCTTCAGTACTTCCAAAAGCTATGCATTTGGTTCATGTGGGTTCCTGGATCTGACTCTGTGTGTGTATGTATTTTATTTTACAATAAAAACTACTTTTAAATTTCCAGTGGAGTTTTCATGGGAAACTCAACTGACATCGGCAGGAAAAAAAAAAAGACAATGGAAATAGCCCAGGAATTTTGTAAAAAGAGGAGTATCAGATATTGAGCCATAGTAGTTAAAGCAGACTGGCACTGGGACAAACAAGACAGGTGAATCTAGAAATACAATAGGCTCCCCATCTATGGAGCTTTGTACTTCTCCTTTGCATGTGCAGTTTGTCCCATGTGGAGCACAATTCTGTAAGTGTCACAGTACCGGCTGCCTCCCTGGACCGTGAAATTCAAGGATCAGTCCCTCCCTGTCCCTCCCATCCCATCCTGTCACCCCCTTACCATAAACCTTACCTTGAAAGTCTATCTCTGCCTCTCAGCTTTGTGGCCCAGGATGGCAGGAACTGTGACCCCTCAGGGACCTGCACAGTGCCTGGTGTATATTAGGTGCTCAATAAATGCTAAATGAATCAGGAGATGGGTTAAAGAATTCAATCTAAATGTTTTTTTTTTTAAGATTTTATTTATTTATTTGACAGAGAGAGAATGAGAGAGAGAGCACATGAGAGTGGGGAGGGTCAGAGGGAGAAGCAGGCTCCCTGCCGAGCAGGGAGCCCGATGCGGGACTCGATCCAGGGACTCCAGGATCATGACCTGAGCCGAAGGCAGTCGCTTAACCAACTGAGCTACCCAGGCGCCCCTAAAGAATTCAATCTAATTTAAAATCATTCAACAGGGGCGTCTGGCTGGCTCAGTCAGTAGAACATGCAACTCTTGATCTCAAGGTCGTGAGTTCAAGCCCCACATTGGGCCATGGAGCCTGCTTAAAAAAATTTTTTTTAATACTAAAAAAAAAAAATCATTCAACAAACATTTATTAAGCACCTACTGTGTGCCAGGAACCCTGGATGAAGCGGCGACCCAAATCAATCAGTTCCCTGTCCTATGGTGCTGACACTTTAGAGGGGGAGACAGATGGCAAGCAAGTAAACAAATAAATGTCAGAGATTCTTTTTGTTTCAGATAATGAAAGTAGCTATCAAGTTAATAAAACAGAGCAAGGGAAAAGACAGAAACTGGAGAGGGACCACATTAAGCCTTTAGGGGTGGGAACACACAGGTCGAGCCCTCCAGAATAGAAGGTGCCCATGTGAACATGTGCAGGGAAGAACAGTTCAGGAAGATGGAACAGCTTGTGCAAAGATCCTGTGGTAGGAAAGAGCCAGGGTCCTGGCACCTCACCCAGACACTGGGACTTGAGCATCAGTCCTTCTAGCTTCCACACGAAGGATCTTCCAAACACACAAATCCCATCAGGTTAGTCTCTTGCTGTCTTCCCATGGCTCCCTAGCGCCCAGTGGATCAAATCCAAGCTCCTTAGTCCTGCGCTGGGCGGCACTTGGCCGTCCCCCCCACGCCCCCGCCCCCTACCTACCCTTCTCTGCCAGTAGGCGCACGAGGACAGTCACTTCAGGCCCCGCCCCCAGCCCCGCCCCACACTCGGGCCGGGCCAGCACCGCCCACCCCCGTCACCATTGGACAGCTCGGAAAGCAGCGGGTGCTGGTTGGCTGGCGTGGCCATCAGTTAGGGTCGAGGCCTTGATAACCCGTCCCCGAGCTTCGAGGGGGCGGGCTCGGGTGCGGGCGCGGCGGGGGCTGCGGCTTCAGGTAATGCGCCAGTTTTCGGGGCCACCGATGGGGGTTCTGGGGGGTATTAGGGGACGTACCGGGAAGGGGTACTGCGCCTCCTGCGGGCTCAGTGCCCTGCGATGGGGCGGGCTTCGTGTCCTCTGGCTGGGACCCCTCCCACACTGGGAGCCCCAGGTGGGCAGTGAGCAGAGCTGGGGACTCTGGATTCGTGAGATCGCCCTTCACCCGCCCTTAGGAGCCAAGTGGGCGGCTTGTTCGCCCCCTAGCGCCCCAACCGACTCCGGGACTTTCCCAGCGTCGCTCCTGCAGAGCTTGGGGACCTGGTTCCAGCCCCTCATTTTGGACCTGGGTGTGGGGGGTGATACGGAAACGGTGTTGGGGGGAGGGACGGACGGCCCCCGGGCCAGCAGACAATGGGTAGCGGATGGAACCGCCCGGCGGCGTTTCCTGCAGGAAACTGCTCTGTCTCTACGAGGCCCTCCCGGGGGTGGGTGGGTGTGTGTGTGTGTGTGTTGGGGGTGGGAGGTACATGAGTATCTCCCCCTCCCACCATCATCAGCCTCCACCCACACGTCAGGGGTCTGAGAATCCCGCCCCAACTGTAGGGGGTGCTACCATTCGGTGCCTCAAGCCGGGAAGAAACCCCTATCCCCAGGACTGGGATCCGCACTACCCGCCGAGTCCCCCACCCTTCGGGTTTCCTGATCACAACTCGGAGTCCCGAAATAGACCCTGGGGCGGGAGTGGGGGCGTACGGCGTCGGCTCTGATGGCCTAATGAGGGGGTCTCAGGCAGAGGATCCGATCTAGCTGACACCTCCCGCAGGGAGCAGAGAAGAGGGGAGGGCAGCCGCGCCCCCATTCTGGTGAGGCTGCAGACCCTGGAGCCGCCGCGGTGTGGGCCTGCTTCTTCCCCCATTAGGGAAACACGCAGGGATAGGCAGGGATGCAGGCAGGGAGGGATGAACCCCCTCCGGCTTTCTGCCCCTGCCCTGGAGGGGAGGGCTGCTTCTAGAAGGCCATCAAGTGGGTGGCCAATGCAGAAACACTGGCAAAACCGCCTGAGTTAAAATCCTGTCGCTGCCTATGTGTGACCTCGGAAGGGCCACTTAATCTCTCTGTGTCTCAGTTTCTCCATCTGTGCAGTGGGGTAAAGGATAATGATAAGAAAACTTCCCTCAGAGGGTTTAGCTAGGATCTTTTCTCTTTTTAAGTCAATAGCCATAAATTGCTTATAGTAGAGGGTGACCCATAGTAAATGGCAAAAGTATTGTTGTTGTTGTTGTTATTACTTAGCCCAGCGCCTGGCCCAGCTGCTCTAGCTGATTAGGATCTTAGGGATGGCCCACCGCTGTTTTTTGTTTGTTTGTTTGTTTGTTTGTTTTTTAAGTTCCCAGGGCCTCAAATTCGGGTGTGACCAGGTCACCAGAGGAGGGGGCTGAGCCCACTGAGTCACACTGCTGGCTGTGGGACCCAGACCCCTACGTGTCCCTGCTCACTATATCCCAGGGCCCAGACCCCTAAGTCAGCCCAGGTTTTTTTCCAGGACACAACTCTTCCCTGGCAGTTTCCTGAAAACAAGTTGTGTGGCTGCCCTGCTGGCCTGCCCCTCTCAGCCGGTGTGAGGGGGCAGGAAACAGCTGCTTCAGGACTGGAAGGGGCCCTGTCTGCCTCGGGGTGAGGGAGGTTTTAGGGGCATAGGTCGGGAGTGGCAGAGTCCCCCAAGCAGTGGAGCAGGGGGTATTCAATGGCTGGTGAGTGTTAGCCACAGAGGTGGTCATCAGGAGTGCGGGAGGCTGGAGGGGGGTGATGACAAAGGTTGCCAGGTGGTTGGCACATTGAGCATGGGGTCAGGGAGAGGACAGATGGGTCTGGCAGGCACCTGATGGTGAGGCTGGGTGGGCAAGGGATCCCTGGAAGATGGGCAGAGCCCAATCTGAGGGCATTTCCCACAGACAGCTCACCTATTTGCTCTGTGCCTTGGTTTCGCAATCTGGAAGATGTGAATGATAGTATCTTCCTTGCAGGATTGTATGGGGGTTGCATTTAATCAGGTGGAGCATACAGTAGGCACTCGAGACAAGCTGCTTTCTCCTCCTCGAAGGTTTTTCATGTGGGCTCTTCAAAGCCCCATCTTTCCTACCGTGCTTTCTGATTGTCCTTGTTAATTATCACATGAGATGTGGCCCAGTCTCCCTCAGTTTCTTAGAGCCTCCGTCATGTTTCCTGAAGAGTCCTCCCAGCCCCACGTATAGCCACAGCTCTGACAACCTGGGTACTTATGGTTCCATTACAGACTCTTACAAGCCAGGAGCAGAACACCATGGCACTCCACTAGAGACATCCTAGGGAGATCGGTATCCATTGAGTTGTATCCTTGGTGCATCTGGCCCACAACCTCTCCATCATTCCCATAAGGCTCTCACAAGTGACTTGGTAAAAACTCAGATGCACAATTATATTTTGTTTGCATTTCTCTAAGGAGAAAAGAATTCAAATGATCCTATGTTTGTTCTTTTTTTAATATGCAGAATCTGACCAGATGATTTTCTCATGAGCCCATGAAGGGCTTCCAACTCTCACCTTCTTCTTCTGAAGGTTCACACCTCATCCCTTTGAGCATCAATTTCTAATTTTGCCCTGGGACTGACACAACTTGGCAGGTCTGGAATGACCCTTCCTTGCCCCCACACCCAGTTACTCATGTTCTCTGATCACTCTCCTCCCTTATCCTCTTGATGCCCTTCCTGCCCCCTCCTCCCCAGCAGGCTGAGGCCTGTACGTGGAGATGCCCACATTCATTCATTCCAAAGTTTCAAGGCCTCTTGAGGGAGCAGGGAGGACAGGACATATGTGTGTGGGAGGGTGGGTGGGAGTCTGTTTACTTACTTAGAGTCCAGGCTGACTCTAAAGGGATGGGGCCAGCTCCATCCTCAACTCCTCTGGGGACATTTTCCAGGGTGTGTCTTGCAGCTACTTCAGAAAACATGGCCAAGTTTGCCCTGAATCAGAACCTGCCCGGTGAGTGTGCAAAGTGGGATACATGTGTGTGCATGGATTGATACTTGGTGCCCATGTAGTTCCCACCTGTGGTTCCCACCTGTGCATGTGGCTAGAGAGCCCTTTCTAAAGGTCCATTGGAAATGTCACAGCCCTGCTTCAACCCTGCTTATTGTGCCCTATCATATGTGTAATATAATCCCAACGCCTCATTGTGGACCAGGGAGGCCCCCCACGATCTGGTCCCAACCCGCCTCTTCTACTCCTCTCCCTTCTTTCACTCTGTTTCGGGCACCCTCACCTCCACCTCACTGTTAACTCCTGCCCACCCTGCTCACTATATCCCAGGGCCTTTGCTCTGTTTTCCTTTAGGAACCTTCTGTCCCCAACTGCTTCCTCCTCGTCATTTCAGTGCTCGGCTTTTAAGTCCCTTCCACAGGAAACCTGCCCTGACAACTAATCACACACCTTCTCCAGTTATTCTGTATTTCATCTGTTATTATTATTAGCCCTAAGCATCATTTGGAATGATCATGTTTATTTGTCTCCTATAAGAGGACAGGGGTTTGTCTGTCTTGTTCACTGATGTGTCCCCAGCGCCTAGAAAAGTGCTTGGCACATAGTAGGTGGGTGGGATTGCTTGACTGGTGCAGATAGGCATTTGGTCCTCGGGCATGCATGTGCGCAATGGCATGTGTACAGGGTTTGCTGCAGGTGGAGCCCTGCAGGACTGTCTTGCGGCGGTCGGGGACGAGCTCTATCTGTCCAGTTTCTCCCGGGTCGTCCCCCTCCCCCAGCCTGACGCCCATAACACCCCATCATGCCTGCAGACCTGGGCGGCCCTCGCCTGGGCCCCGGCCCCACCGCGGGCGCCCGCAGCCCGAGCTCGCCCTACTCAGTGGAGACGCCGTACGGCTTCCACCTGGACCTGGACTTCCTCAAGTACGTGGAGGAGCTGGAGCGCGGCCCCGCCCCCCGCCGCGCCCCGGGCCCCCCGCCCCCGCGTCGCCCCCGTGTACCCCGGGCGGGCCTCGCTGGCGCGCGAAGCCCAGGCGCCTGGACGTCCAGCGAATCCCTGGCCAGTGACGATGGGGGAGCATCGGGCGCACTCTCCCCGGGCGCGCCCTCGGGGCTCCTGCTGCCGCCGCTGTCGCCGTGCGTACCCGTCCGTAACCCGCGCGTCGAGCACACGCTCCTGGAAACCAGCCGGCGGCTGGAGCTGGCGCAGGCGCACGAGCGCGCGCCCAGCCCCGCCCGCGCCATCCCGCGCAGCCCGCGGGGATCTGGCCGCAGCAGCCCCGCCCCCAGCCCCGCCTCCAACCCCGCCCCCGCGTCTCCCGGTCCCGCGCAATTGCAGCTGGTGCGCGAGCAGATGGCCGCGGCTCTGCGGCGCCTGCGCGAGCTCGAGGACCAGGCGCGCGCGCTGCCCGAACTGCAGGAGCAGGTGCGCGCGCTGCGTGCGGAGAAGGCGCGGCTGTTGGCTGGACGCTGGCAGCCGGAGCCCGACGGGGAGGCCGAGGCGCGCCCCGACAAGCTAGCCCAGCTGCGGCGCCTCACCGAGCGCCTCGCCACCTCCGAGCGCGGCGTTCGCTCCAGGGCCAGTCCCTGGGCCGATGGCCCCGACGGGCCGGCTTCTAGGCGCAGTGAGGGCGCACTCGAGGTCCCCGACGCAACCGGGACCCCCGACGGGGCGCCGCAGACGCGGGAGGCTGGCGTCCAGGCGGTGCCCAAGACCCAAGACGCTAGGGCCCAGGCGGTGCCGGAGGCCCGGGAGGCCAGCGTAGACGCGGTCCCCGAGACCCTCGAGTCGGACGCGTGGGTGACCGAGGCGCTGCTGGGGTTGCCCGAGGCCGCCGAGCGCGAGCTGGAGCTGCTCCGCGCCAGCCTGGAGCACCAGCGCGGTGTGAGCGAGCTCCTGCGCTGCCGGCTGCGCCAGCTGGAGGAGGCCCGCGAGGCTGCCGAGGAGGAGGCAGCTGCGGCGGCCCAGCCCCAGCCGCGCGAGGCTGCCACCCAGACCCCGTGGGGTTGTGCCGCGAAGGCCACACAGACCGAGACCCTCGGCGAGGCCCCTAGCCTGAGTCAGGAGAACCCGTCGGGACCCACGGATGGGGACAGAGCTGTGGCCCCTGCGGGTGAGTCTCAACCCCTGCCTAAGCCCTGGCTTGATGGCTTCTGGACTCGAACTCAGTACCCTCATCTGACCCGCCAGGCATCCTCAAATCCATCATGAAGAGGAGAGATGGTACACCTGGCGCCCAGCCCAGTCCAGGACCCAAGAGCCTGCAGTTTGTTGGGGTCCTCAACGGAGAGTGAGCACTTTACCCCTCCCCATGGTAGCATCTGCAGGGACATAGACTGGGGTTTGAATCCTGGCTCTGCCCCTGACTCGCAGTGTGGTCTTGGAAAGCCTATTTCTTCTTCTGTAAAGTGGGGACAGACACTCCCACCTCGCAGGACGCAAGAATGAGCCCACAGGGGAGGCTCAGCGGCCGCCTCCCACCCTACCCCCAGGTACGAGAGCTCATCCAGCGAGGACGACAGCGACAGTGACAGCGACAGCGGCAGCGAGGACGGTGCTCCTGAGCCTCCAAGGAGCAGCTCGTCCGGGTATGGCAGCGGCAGGGATGTCGGGGACGACAGTGGCAAGGATGCCCTGGACCCCGAGCCTGAACCGGAGCCCGAGCCCGAGCCTGAACCCGAACCCGAACCCGAGCCCGAACTCGAGCCCGAGCCCCAGCCGGAGCCCCAGCCGGAGCCAGAGGCAGAACCTCAGCCTCGTGCGCAGGGGAGGTGAGCGGCGTTACGGACACAGAGTGGGGACGGGGGCTTTCTTTCCTGTCCTGCGCGCACCCCGCCCCCCCGAGCCTCCTGAGCCTCTCCCGGCCACCTTGATAGGTGCGAGCTGAGCCCGCGTTTGAAGGAGGCGTGCACAGCGCTGCAGCGGCAGCTGAGCCGGCCCCGCGGAATCACCCGCGATGGCGTGAGTGCCAGCGAGAGCCCTTCACACATGGAGTCGCGGGCCCCATCGGGGACCTCCCCTGACGCCCTCTAGGGGAAGCCCATAGGATTTCGTAGAGTTGGGGGGGGGCGGTCCCAAGTTCCACCCCTTGGCGCTTAGACCTCCACTGATCTCAGGCTCTCCAAAGGGATCTCCGCCCAGGGATAGCGCTGAAGTTTTCCCTGTTTCCCCCAAAAGGGTGCGCCCCAAGCCCCAGGCCCACCCCCATACTCCGCAAAGGCAAGCGCTCACCGCCTTCCTCCACTCTGGGTTCTCCCACAGGCTCTTTCCCAGAGGGGAGGACCCCCGCTGGCTTGAGCCTGAGACCCGCACTGGCTGTACTCCCTCCTGCAAAAGGGTGCGGCCCACGGACCCCCTCAGACAAGCAGCGACCATCCTCTCCCGCCTCGATTCCTAGCCCCGCCCCCACGCCCTCCCTGCCACCACAATCCGGACCATCTCTGACGTCTTTCCTCCGGTCCCGGCAGGGCGCGGCGCGCCTAGTGGCCCAGGAGTGGTTTCGAGTGTCCAGCCAGCGGCGCTCTCAGGCAGAGCCCGTGGCTGGGGTCCTGGGAGCGGTGGCGCGCCTGGGACCTGAGCTCCTGGCGCACGTGGTGAACCTGGCAGATGGCAACGGGAACACAGCCCTGCACTACACCGTGTCCCACGGGAACCTGACCATCTCGAGCTTGCTGCTGGATACCGGTCAGCACCTTCCTCCAGGGTCAGAGGATCCTGGTGTCCTGGGGAGATTGTCAAGGGCCTTTAGATCTCTCCACTTTGAGCTCTACCGACACCCGCCTCTCACTTTGCGGGGTGCCAGAATACCCGGTTTTAAAGTTAGGTAGACCTAAATTTAGAGGACTTACTTAGTGTCACCAGCCTTAGCTTCCTCATCTGGGAAATGGGATGCACCACCACCCTCCCTGGGCAGCTGTAATAACAGGTGTAGAATAGCGCCAGGCACGCAGGAGGAGGCCAGTCGGTGGTCACCATGCATTCTGTCCCTGAATCTCCAGTCCTGATGCTCACCTCAGTCCTAGGCCCCAATACCCAGCCACCTGCCTCTCCCACTGGTCAGGGTTCTGACCACCCTCCCAGGCTGGGCCACTGTGCCCTGTCCTCCACCCCCACATCCTGCAGTGACTCCATTTTACACGTTTCTATCCCCTGCCACTTGCTTGCTCATTTCCTGCCCCAACTTTCCCCCTCTGGAGCTGAGATACACACACCCAGGTGTCCCTGAGCCCACAGACATGTATTAAAAACCTACTAGATACTAGTATGGTGCTGGGGTGGGGGTGGGCCACTCACATACAGCTACTTTCCCCATGGGACTCACAGCAGAGGGGACAGTACAGTAGACAAACTCCCCACCAAGAGCCCTCCTGGGTGTCATCCTTCAGGTCCAGTATCTGCTGGGGCCTGCCCTTGGAGGCTTCTCACTCTCACTGCAGGTCAAGGCAGGTCCCACTGTTTCCTCCCTGACCCCACTGCCCCCAAACACACAGGTCTGTCCCATCCCTGAAGATCTTGGTGACCTGCTGGACCAGGAGCTCAAGCTTGGGAGGAGGGGACAATGCATGATTCAAGGCATCTGCCTTAAAGGGGACTGGGGACTGGGGCAGGCAGGCATGGTGGTCAGTCACAAGAAGCCCAAGCCTTCATGGACACCTTTTACTCCTTGCATTCAACCCCCCACCCCACCCCCTGGGCTCCAACTCCCCAGACCTTGCCCTGGGCATTCTAGTTCTCACATCGATCATTCCCTCTGCCCCTGTCTGCTTGCTGCCATGTCCCTCCCCTCCCCCAGGGCCCTGAGACCTTAATGTACTCCCCAAATAGGGGCTGTTTCCTTTCACCTCCCTGGCACGCAGGGGCTGGACGCGACTGTGTATCCTTGCCCCTCATCTCCACCTCCAGAACTTTTCCCCTTCCTCCCTCAGCCCTACCTTGGAGCCTCTTATTGATCAGACCCCTATTCCCTCCACCGCCTCTTCTGGCTTCTCCCTCCAAAGTGAGATCACTCTTCCCTCCCGGGGCCAGCTCTCCTTTGCACAGGAACCCTCACCAGTTTCAGTATCCTCATGGAGCATCACTCTTACCTCCAAGCTTCTCAGTTCCTTGACCCCCCTCCTCCCATCACCTTGGCCTCTGCCCTACATCAGCCTTACACTTTTTTTTTTTTTTAAGATTTTATTTATTTGACAGAAAGAGACACAGCGAGAGAGGGAACACAAGCAGGGGGAGCGGGTAAGGGAGAAGCAGGTAAGGGAGAAGCAGGCTTCCCGCTGAGCAGGGAGCCCCATGCGGGGCTTGGTCAAGACCCGAGCGGAAGGCAGATGCCCAACGAATGAGCCACCCAGGTGCCCCCAGCCTTACACTTGTAAAGTCACCCAAGATCTTGATGTCACTGTAACCATGCCCCCTCCACAGTCTCGTCTCTTCTCTCTCCTCTCAACATTTCGGCTCTCCAATTGCCTGGCCCTAACAACCCTTGGCCCTCACAGGACCATTGTCTGTTGCTCCCCCTGCCTCCATTTTACTGCCCGCCCCCCAGTCCCCTTGCTTCCTTGTTCACCCTCTGTCATTAACTACTCGTTTATGTCCCCTTTCAAACTCCTCCCCACGGCCCTCCTCTACCTCACCCTACTTGTGTGGCAGGCCCCAGCACGGAACACAGTGATGGTTGAATGAATGAGCAAGCTCGCATGAGGGTATGGCTGTGAGCCTGTGCCTTGTGGGGAGAGGGGGAGTGGAGATGGACGATTATCAAGTAAAAACATGGAACAATTACAAATCGGGATCAGGGCCACAACAAAACATAACTAGGTGAGGAAATCAAGTGAGGTGATCCTTTGGCTTAGGAAGGCCTCGGGGGAGGGGAAAGGAGAGGGTAGGGGCAGGTGGGGGGTGTCCTGCTAGCCTGCAGAGACCCGACTCTGGTTACTCCTGTGTGCCCCTCCTCACCCAGCACACTCCACCAGTGTCACAGAAGCTTGTGGAAGCAGTGAGCACCTAGAGGGCAGGTCACACAACTAGGAAACCCGCCCTCTTCCTTTAGATACTCCTTAACCCTTTTTCTCCCCAGTCCATTGTCTGAGTCCCTCTCTATAGGGCATCCACTCCATGACCCTGATCCAAGCGCCCCTCCCCAAGCTTTTGTAGCCTCGTGGAACTTTCCAAACAGTGGGGGACAACAGCATCAGTCACTTTGGTAACTGGGCCCAGAGTAGGTGCTGTGAGGGACAGGCAACAGCCAGTAACCACAGTGCTCCTTTCCTTGAGCTGCTGTAACAAAGTAGCACAACGTGGGTGGCTTAAGAAAATGGAAATTCATTTTCTTGTAGCTCAGGAGGCCAAAATCCAGGTTGGCAGGCCTGGTTCCTTCTTAGGAGTTCAGAGCAAAGCAATCTGCTCCATGCCTTTCTCCTAGCTTCTGGTGGTTGCCTGCAATCTTTAGCATCCTGTAGCTGATGGCAGCTTCTCTTCTCTGCCTGTCTGTGTCTCTTCTAAGGACACCAGCCACACTGGATACGGTCTACCATAATGACCTCACCTTAACTTGATTACATTTGCAGAGACCCTATTTCCAATTAAGGTCACATTCATAGGTACAGGGTAGGTAGGACTTTGTATCTTTTGGGGGGGGCACACAACTCAATTTGTAACACAGGCTTGGAGGAGAAAGGGTTCCAGAGGAAGGGACAAAAGTTAGGTAACAGCCTCAGAACCCATGGTGGGGGGCGAAGTAAACCAGGCCGGGCTGAGGGTGTCAGCTTCTTGGTTGACTGACTACCCCCCACCCCCACTCTCCCAGGGGTCTGTGAGGTTGACCGTCAGAATCGGGCTGGCTACTCAGCCCTCATGCTGGCTGCACTCACCTCTGTGGGGCGGGAAGAGGACATAGCCGTGGTTCAGAGACTCTTCCATATGGGCAACGTTAATGCCAAGGCCAGCCAGGTACGTGGACATTTCTTCCCTGGGTCCCAGTCTGCTAGAGTCACTTCTACTTTGGGTTTGTCTCTGACCTCCCTTTCTCCAGAGCCCTCCCCAGCCCTGTCCCCTTCTTCCTCCCCAGACAGGACAGACGGCCCTCATGCTGGCCATCAGCCACGGCCGCCAGGACATGGTGGCAGCCCTGCTGGCATGTGGGGCAGATGTAAATGCCCAGGATGTGGATGGGGCCACAGCGCTGATGTGTGCCAGCGAGTATGGGCGCCTGGACACGGTCCGGCTGCTGCTGGCCCAACCAGGCTGCGACCCGGCCCTCCTGGACAATGTGAGCCGCCATGGGGTTGACGTGGGGATGGCAGGGTACCCATGCCTTGGTCCAGGGACCTGACTGTCCCCATTGTCCCTCAGGAGGGCACCAGTGCCCTGGCCATTGCCTTGGAGGCTGAGCAGGACGAGGTGGCCGCTCTGCTGCATGCCCACCTGAGCTCGGGCCAGCCTGATCCCCCTGTGAGTGCAGCCCCTAGCCCGGGGAAACCAAGCCTCCCAGCTGCACATTGGGTTCAAAGAGGATACCAAGTGTGCCCCGGGAAGGAGGCCTCCCTTTCCGCTTCCCTGGGGAATCAGCCAGGATTGGGAACCCGGGTTTGAAACTCTTGCACGTGGCTAGGATCTGATGTTCAAAATACCCGTGAGACACACCTCCATGTTACATGAGCCTGAGGTCTCCAGAGGGGAAGTGCCCTAAGATCAGACTAGAGCTGTTAGACCTAGCTCAGACCTTCCCTGTCAGTGGACTCCCGCTACTGCCTCCAAGAGGCTTCCACCAAAGAATAAGGGACCCTCCAGAGTTAGGGAGGGGAAGTGGGGTGCAGGCTCCCTGCAAGCCAGAGTTTGCCAGAAGCAGGGAGGAAGGAGGGAGGGCCAAGCCAGAAGTAGAATACTCAGTTTACCTCCAAGGAAGAAAGGCTTATTCTTTTTTTTTTTTTTTTTAAGATTTTATTTATTTATTTGACAGAGAGAGACAGAGAGAGAGGGAACACAAGCAGAGGGAGTGGGAGAGGGAGAAGCAGGCTCCCGGCAGAGCAGGGAGCCCAATGCGGGGCTCGATCCCAGGACCCTGGGATCATGACCTGAGCCGAAGGCGGATGCTCAACGACTGAGCCACCCAGGCGCCCCGGCTTATTCTCTTTTATAAAACAAGTGCCAGGCTGTTCTCAGTACTACTTAATTAAACTCATCCAATCAGCCTGTCATCCTGCACTCTCCTGTAGAGATGTGGGGAAGGAGAGCTGGAGGTGCCTCTTCCAGGTCAGATGGAGGCAGAGGCGGATTCAAAACCAGGCAGCCTGGCTCCACTGTAAAAGGTGGAGTTCCTCCTTAAGTGTGATCACAGGGTAGAGGGACAAAACCTCCATCAGGTCAAGTATCCCTGAGTGAAGGGACTGAAAGAAACCCTAGCATCCTGCCCACGGATGACTGACAGGACCCCTCCCCCACCTCTCTCCCCAGTCAGCCCTTCAGCCCCCCACGGCTGTGCCTGGTGAAGGAGAATGCAGTGACCACAGAGAAGACCCCCAGCCTCAGTGAGCAGCCTGGCACCCTGGACCTGGATTGGGAGAGTCTGTTCCGTCCTCCACCCCAGCCTCTGGGGCACAGCAGGGGCCAGGGTTTGCTATCCAGATGCTAGCCCTGGGCCAAGAGAAAGGCTTGGATGGCTCAGTGTTCAGGAGAGGCTCACCTTGGACCAGCAGGGTGAGGAAGGGGCTGAAAAGTGACAAGGCCCCTGAGTCCACCCAATTCCAGAATAAAACATTACTAACTCAACTTGTGTCTTGTTTTGGGGACCCATACACATAGCTCCCCCTCCCCCCAAGTCACTGGAGGACAAAGGGTGGGAGGGGCTCCGTCTGGAAGATTTTATAAGCCTAGTGACAGCGAGACAAGATCCTGAGTTTACATACAACATAAACGCTTTATTAACAATCGCAGATCATCCCTGTGAGCCAAGTGGTCGACCCAGACATCCAGGACCCTGTAAACAAACCCAAACATGAGATTCTGAAGGGACACCCAGCAACTGGCAAACTCCCACCCCCATCTCGCAAATCTCAGTAGACTCTTTCTACACTTCCCACCCCAAGAACCTCTCACCCATGGATTTGGCGAAGACTCCCTACCTCCACCAAGGGTCTAATGGGCCTGCTGTTTCCCACCCCTGTCCCGCACTCACCAGCCACAAGTTCAGCGCAACCTCCGAGCTTCTCGCTCTGACTCCAACAGGGTGAGCACGTCCCCCTCGCGCACGGGGCCTTTCACGTTGCGGATGATGGAGCGGCTCGTGTCGTCCATGAACTCCACGCGCACCTACGGGACCCATCGGGAGGACGCAGACGAGTTAGGGTCAGCCGCGGATAAGCACCGCGGGCTGGGCAGCAGGTTTCGATTCAGAGGACGTGTTGGGACCGGCCCAGAAATACTTAGAAAGGGGACTCCGTCTGGGAGGCAGAGCCGAGCCAGGAAAGAAGCCCAAGAGAGCCAAGTCGTGGAGAACAAAATTCTCGAGCGGCCAAAACAGTCACCAGGAGGCAGAGCTGCAGCTCTGGTCCTGTTCGGGAGGGGAGCACACTCGGCAGGGCATGGAGCCACAAAGAGGTCGGAGGACGGGCTAAGCCACGAGAAAAAGCAACGTCAGAGCCTGGGGAGTGAGGTCGATGGAGCTCAGACCCGGTGGGCGGGGCCCTAGTGAGGTCTCGGGGCACTCCGGGAGCCCTGGGATATAGGGGCTCCGGTTCTCAGGGTACAGCTGGACAGGCAGTCAACAGGGCTCCGATCCCGGGGCGTCCCCCCCAGCGCGCTCACCTGCGTGCACTGTCCTTGCGAGCCGGTCCTGCCCAGAACCTTGGTGACCTGGCGGAGAGACGCTGGGATCAGACCTGGGGAGCCCGACCCCCCACACCCCATCTCTCTTCATCCCAGCCCCCAAATCAGGACCCCCACCTCACCCTGGCCAACTTGATGGGCTGCACACGGCTCGTGTCCATGATGGCGGCGCGGCGGCGGTCTGGCGGAGAGGGGTCACGTGCTCCGAGAAGACCTTTTATACTACATTCTAGCCCCGCCCGCTCTCGCGAGACCATCAACGTTCTTCCCAGCAGCCCTCGCGGTAGAGTCGCCACCGTCCTTCAGTGCAAACGGAAGATGGCGTCCGCTACCCGCTTCATCCAGCGGCTGCGGAACTGGGCATCCGGGGTGCGCGGGGCTGAAAGGGCCATACGAGGCGGGGAGGGAGGGCTGTGGGCTCCGTGCGCCTTGGACCCGCTCCCGCTAGTCCCCTTCCTCCTGCACCCTTGGGCCTGAGGCTTTTAGTGCCGAGACCCCCCTAGGCCGGAATCCGTGTCTCAGCCCGGGACCCCTAACCCGTGACTCCTTCAGCCAACACACCCACCTCCACCCCAGCCCTGGACCCATTCTGGCCTACTCCGGGACCTTCTTAGCCCTGTATCTTGTGGCCCCGGCCCTAGATTTCCTTTTCACCTCCAGGGCCCATATCCCTGTACCATCCCTGTACCATCGCCGACCTTCCCTTCTCCACCCTTGGGATGCCCCTGTTCCCTCGCCCTCTCCTCTCCTCGAGTGCCCTGCGGGTTGACCTCCTTCCTCTCCTCCCACAGCACGATTTGCAGACGAAGTTGCAGCTGCGCTACCAGGAGATCTCCAAGCGGTGAGCCAGCCCCGCTCGCTGCCCACATTCCGTCCTTGTCCTGTTACTGTTACATCGAGAACAAAATTCATATTCCGTCACACCCCCTTTGCGCTAGGCCGGAATCTTGCCTCCGGTCCCTGGCAGGATGTGGAAGCAGAGGTTTGCTTTTAACTTTCCTGTACTCAGAGCCGGCTGCGCGTGGAACAGTGAGGTTAGACATGAATTCAGCGCGGGGATCGTGTAGCTGTTCAGTCCTCAGTGTGGTCCTGCCAGTTGATGTTGTCTTCTCCAAGCTACAAATGAAAAAAATGTGAGGTTCAGCGAGACAATCATTTGCTTAAAGTCACTCAGAAGCTAGAAAGTGACAGCTGGGATTTGAACCCAGAAGTGTCTTGATTCCAAACTCATTTATGTCCAAAGATTACTTAATATTTCCAAGCCCCTGCCATGTCCTCAGGGATACCAGCACCAACAAGAAAAGTTACTATCCTCATTCTTTCATGGAGCTCAAGTTCTAGGAAGAGTGAAACATAGTAGGGAAATAAACGCAACAGGTAAGAAGTATTCTGGAATTCTGTGAAGACAAAATGAAGTAGAGTAAGCTGGAGGGTGGCTACCTCAGGTCAGGTGGTCAGGAAAGGTCTTTTTTTCTGGGATTGACGTTTGAATCACCTGAATAATAAGGAGCCAAAGGGTAATTATTGAAAGAATATTTGGGACAGAGGGAACAGTACACGCCAAGGCTGTTGAGGCCCGACAGAGCCAGAAGTAGGAAGGAGGCCAGTGTGGCTGGAACAACACATGGCGCAAAGGAGGGATAGCCGTATATTGGAAGTCAGAGGAGTAGGCAAAGTAAGGCAGCCATTGAGGATTAGCATGAAAGGAAGACAACTAGCATTTGAATAACCACATTTATGTGAATGCCTACCTCTTGTAACTAATTCCAAATATCAGAAGTTTGAAGTTGCTTTCTATCCAGGGTCATTGGTGGGCCAGTTGAGGAAACCCGTTTATTAAATTTCCAACCTCTTTAGGGTAGTGGCGCCCCCTAGTGATTCATGTGTGTCTGTTGGGCACCTGATTCTTTTTTTCTTTTTCTTTTTTTTTTTTAAAGATTTTATTTATTTGACAGAGAGAGCGAGAGCAGGAACACAAGCAGGGGGAGTGGGAGAGGGAGAAGCAGGCTTCCCGCCGAGCAGGGAGCCCAACGTGGGACTCGATCCCAGGACCCTGGGATCATGACCTGAGCTGAAGGCAGACGCTTAACGACTGAGCCACCCAGGCGCCCTGGGCACCTGATTCTTAACCCTTCTGCTAGGTGGCAGAAAGCTATGGCCACACCCACGGGGGGGGTCATCTGCACTCCAGAAGTTAAGCAAATTCTAATTGCCCATGGGATATTGCCTTTTTTTTTTTTTTTTTAAGATTTTATTTTTAAGTAATCTCTACACCAAACGTGGGGCTTGAACTCACAACCTGGAGATCAAGAGTCGCACGCTCCACAGAGCCAGCCAGGTGCCCCAGGATATTGCTTTTATTTATTTATTTATTTTTAAAAAGATTTTATTTATTTATTTGACAGAAAGAGAGAGATAGTGAGAGCAGGAACACAAGCAGGGGGAGTGGGAGAGGGAGAAGCAGGCCTCCCGCAGAGCAGGGAGCCCAATGTGGAACTCTATCCCAGAACCCTGGGATCATGACCTGAGCCAAAGGCAGACGCTTAATGACTGAGCCACCCAGGGGCCCCTATTTATTTATTTTAAAGATTTTATTTATTTACCTATTTAGAGAGAGAGAGCAAGAGTGTGCGCACACACGTGAGCTGGGGGCAGGGCAGAGGGAGCAGAAAGAGCATCTCAAGCAGACGCACACTGAGTGCAGAGCCTGACGGAGGGACCCTGAGATCATGACCTGAGCCAAAACCAAGAGTGGGACACTTAACCGACTGAGCCACCCAGGTGCCCAAAGGATATTGGTTTTAATATTAAATTTTTATATTTTTATGTATATTTCTCATTTTTTTAATACAATGGCTATCACTTGTTTTAAGAAAAACTTGAGTCCTGGCAAAACAGTTACCAGACAAATTATTTTAAAACATGGTTGAATGAAAACCTGATGATTTTAAGATTTCTCCTCTATTTTTTCGGCCTTTCCTCTCTGCTGTGTTTTCCAGGGAGGCTTCTCTTCTTTTGAGGTTAGTGTTTCCATTTTAGGCTTCTGGCTTCTTTGTAAATTCACCCTAGGTTTTAGCCCAACCCAGGACAGAGCTCTATTCACTCGTCTACCCCCACCCCCTACCCCAGCTCTGGCTATAGTGTTGGCGACCAGGCAGGAAATGCAGGGACCTCAGAGGACAAGGTGCTCTTTGAGTAATAAGCCTTGATCCCAGTAAGGTTTTTCAGAGAGTTCCTGAGATAACCAGAAACCCAGGAATTCTGGAGCCTGGCCTTTGAAAACAAAGACCCTCAGAATAAGCTAAGTCTGGGGCTGTTGCCCAAGCATTTATACAGTGACTACTGGATATGAGGTGGGCAGAGCCTCAGACCCTGGCCTCTTCATTTCCTGAGCTCCTGCAGGTGGAAGTGAGGCCAGATGCAAGCTTTGGGCCATGGTGGGGTGGGAACAGGCCTGGGTGTCCAATCTGGGCTGCCCCCTTCCCTGAGAAGCCTCAGAAAAGGTCCTCCATACATTTGGCGCATATCTAGGCCTTGCCTTCCAGCACCTTCACCAAGGGATTCCCCTGGCCTGCAGCCCAGTGACTGAGGCGGCCGAGGCCAGCCTAGCCAGAAAGAATGACTTTCTATTAGGGGTGCCTGGGGGGCTCATTCAGTTAAGCGTCTGACTGGATTTCTGCTCAGGTCATGATCTTGGGGTTGGAGATCAAGCCCCCTGTCAGGCTCTGTGCACAGGGTGGAGTCTGCTTGAGAATCTTTCCTCCTCCTTCCGCCCTGCTTTCCCCTCTCCCCTCCCCTCCCCTCCCTTTGGGTGTGTGCGAGCATGCTCACGCTCTCTCAGATAAATAAATAAAATCTTTTTTAAAAAAGTGACTTTCTGTTAGCTTCAATGGTGGTGTTCTTTTCCCTCAGAACTCAGCCTCCTCCCAAGCTCCCTGTGGGCCCCAGCCACAAGCTCTCCAGCAACCACTATTACACTCGTGATGGCCGCCGGGAAGCCATGCCGCCCTCAATCGTCATGTCCTCACAGAAGGTATTGGCGTCAGGCAAGCCTGCAGAGAGGTGAGGACATCACAGCCTGAAACGAGCCCTTTCTCTTGCTTGTGCTTTTCAAGGTCCCACTTACTGAGCCATCAGCTGTGTCAGGAACTGTGCTTCCGGGGCTTTTCAGGGGAGAGCTCTTTGAATCCCCACCCAGCCCAGGGTAGGGGTTGGGCCTCAGCCAGGGGAGTGTTTCCTACAAAGCAAATGAAGCTCCAGGCTCCCATCAAGGGCTCTGGGAGAAGACCAGGTGTTGTTTTTGTAGTGGTTTTTTTTTTTAATTGAGGCGTAATTGACATATAACATTATGTGAGTTTCAGGTGTACAATGTAAAGATTTGATATTTGTGTACATTGTGAAATGATCACCACAGTAAGTCTTATTTATGTTTTTTTCTTTTTTTTTTTTTTTAATTTATTTATTTGAGAGAGAGAGAGAATGAGATGGGGGAGGGTCAGAGGGAGAAGCAGACTCCCTGCCGAGCAGGGAGCCCGATGCGGGACCCGATCCTGGGACTCCAGGATCATGACCTGAGCCGAAGGCAGTCGCCCAACCAACTGAGCCACCCAGGCGCCCTACACATTTTTTTCTTGTGATGAGAACCTTTAAGATCTACTCTTAGCAACTTTCAAATATGCAAGAGTATTGTTAACTACAGTCACCATGCTGTATAGTACATCCCTGGGACTTATTTATTTTATAATGGGAAGTTTGTACCTTTTGGCCCCCTTCACTCATTTCACCCACCCCGTACCTGTCTCCTGCCTCTGGTGACCATCAGTCTGTTCTCTGTATCTTTGAGTTTGGTTTTTTGTTTTGTTTTTAGATTCCACACATAAGTGAGATCCTACAGTATTTGTCTCTGATTTATTTCACTTGGCGTAGTACTCTCAGGGTCCATACATGTTGTTGCAAATGGAGGATTTCTTTCTTTTTTATGGCTGAAAAGTATTCCATTCTGTGTGTATACGTGTATTATGTATGTGTATATATACACACACACCGCACATCTTCTTTGTACTCTTCTTAAAGAAAGAATTGTATTTTTTTTTAAGTAGGCTCCACACCCAACATGGGCTTTTTTTTTTTTTTAAGATTTTTATTTTTTATTTATTTCTTCATGAGAGAGAGAGAGAGAGGCATAGGGAGAAGCGGGCTCCCTGCAGAGCAGGGAGCCCGATGCAGGACTTGATCACAAGACCCTGGGATCATGACCTGAGCTGAAGGCAGACACTTAACCGACTGAGCCACCCAGGCACTCCCCAACATGGGGCTTGAACTCACGACCCTGAAATCAAGAGTCGGATTCTCCACCAACTGAACCAGCCAGGCGCCCCAAAGAAAGAATTGTATAAATCTCAGGCCCCTTAAAATCGGTTTGGTCCCTGGCCTCAGGTGCCTTCTCTTAAATAAATGGGGACGATAACAATATCTACTTTAGGGAGTTTATCTCAGTCCACTTGGCTGCTATGACAGTATCATAGACTGTGGTGGTTTATAAACAACAGAAACATATTTCCCACAGTTCTGGAGGCTGGGAAGTCCAGGATCAAGGTGCTGGCAGATTCCATGTCTGGTGAGGGCACTCTTCTTGGTTCACAGATGGCATTTTCTTGCTATGTCCTCACATGGTGGAAGGGTTAAGGGGTGTCTAGGATCTCTTATAAGGGCACTAATCCCATTCATGAGGGCTCCTCCTCCAGGACCTAATCACCTCCCAAGTGCTCTACCTCCAAATACCATCATGTTGGGGGTTGCAGTTTCAACATAGGAGTTTGGGAGAGACAAAACATTCGGTCTATAGCAGAGTTGTTATGAAGGTTAATCTTTATAATTAACATCTGTAAGGTTTTAGAATGGAGTCAATGCCATGCCTGCCTACTTACCTCTCCACAAGTTAGGCAGTGATGGCCCCTGCTGGAGAAGAGGAAATTGAGCAGAGAGAGGCCACGTGACCTAACTGGGTCACACAGCTAGTGGGGAGCAGAAGCAGGATTTCAAATCAGTTTGCTCAGACCCCAGTGGTGTCTGGGCTCTACAGCCAGTTCATGGTGTGGTCTGCAGCCAGTGTTTTGGCTTTGTTGAGCCTCCGTTTCTTCATCTGTAAATCAGGGGTGGTGGGCTTGCAGTGTGACAAGCTCTGTAAGGTGATGAGGCCAGGTAGGGCCTGCTGTATAGTTAGAACTTGGTGAATGGTCCTTGTTACCTTCTGATTCGCCAGAGTCCAGCACCAGACTGGCACACTACCCAGTTCTCCTCAGACTCCCTCACTTGCCCTGCATTTCCTAGGGAGGCTGCTTCTGCCTCTTCCACCTCCTTCAGACTCCTGGGAGGGTGGGAGGCCCTGGAACCCCTGCTCCTGGGAGCGTCCTCCACAATGAGAGCCTGCCCGCCCGCCTCCTCTCCCTTTGGACTTAACCGTGTGTGCAAGCCTCTCCAGCCCTAGGCACCAGGGGCTTGGGTGTCTCAGGAGGCACCTGCCTTGGATTTGTCGTCACAGTGTCTTTCCTTGGGGCTCACTCTGGGCCAAACGGTATATTCTTCTTCTTCTTTTTTTTTTAAGATTTATTTTTTTATTTTAGAGAGAGAGTGCTTGCATGTGCATATACACACAAGCAGGGGGAGGGGCGGAGGGAGAGAGAGAGGGGAAGCAGACTTCCGTTCACTGGGGAGCCTGATGCAGGGCTCAGTCTCAGGACCCTGAGATCATGACCTGAACCGAAACCAAGAGTCCTACGCCTAACCAATTGAACCACCCAGGCGCCCCAAAAGGTGTATTTTTCAATTGCACTTGACTCTCAGCCTCATTAGACTATGGCCTGGTCTTAGCGCTGTGCTGGGGCACACGCCAGGCCTGCCACGTGGCAAGTGCTCAGCACCCAAGAGAGGAGACAGCAGTGGGCACATGTCGCCTGATTGCTTGGCCCTTTTGCCAGTGTCCTGTTTGGGGGCAGCAGGAATGGGGTGCTCGTCCACCCTGGGGCCACAAGTGGGAAGGGGTGCTAGAGGAGGAGCCCAACTATTTATTGCTGGCTTTGAGCTCAGGAGCCAGGGCAGGTTGACTGGGGGTTCACATGGGGGCTGGGGCAGGAAGGGGGCTGGCCAGCTCCCAGCAAGGGTTGGCTGACCCTTTGGGGGACCCTGGTGAAGGAGTTTGGGCGCTCTGAAATACCCTCACTCGGGCCTGCAGACCCAGAGTCTCGGCAGGCGTGGTCTTGCTGGGCACAGGTGTGGGCTCCCTCAGGTCCCTCCTCGCTGCTCTCTGGAGACCCGGCCCTAAGCAAAGTCTCTTTTCCCTTCCAGCTCAGCTGCAGCTGCCACAGGGAAGAAGGCTGTGACCCCAGCTCCTCCCATGAAGAGGTGGGAACTGTCCAAAGACCAGCCTTACCTGTGACTCTGCGCACCCCCACCTCACCAGGGGCACCTGGCTGGGCCCTCAGGGCCACCTGCCTGCTTCCCCTCCTGGTAGTCCTTCCTGGGAGAACGCGACCTAACCTGTGACAAATACACCTGGCTCTCCAGTATCACTTCCATCCTAACGTTTGAAGCCCCATACGGCTTACCTGGATTTCCTGGTGAAGTCTCTTCACTCTGCCAGCACTCCAGGGGCAGGGGAGGGAGCAGGGGTTCGTGAGCTTCAGGGTGGCACGCTGTCCCTGGGCACTGAGTCTGATGCCATGGGGTCCAGGGGCTCCGGCATTGTCACCATCCCTTCCCTGGGGGCCTGGCTAACCTAGAGAGCAGTACACTGGGTTCCAGGGCCTGTGGGTGTTTGGGTGGGCACTGATGGTGAAGGACTGCAGGGCTGAACACAAGCTGCTCCCTTAGGTTTCTCAAGAGCTCCTGTTGCCGTTGCTCATGAGGACACTGGCCAGCACCCCTCCACCGCCACCCCCATCTGACTCTGAGCACCCTACAGCTTGGTGGGGGTGACCAAGGACAGCAGGGCAACTCCCAGGGAAGGCTCACCTAGGACAGGTGAGGGAAGGCCTCCCTGAGCCAGAAACCTTCCTATGTGGGCCTGGGGAGTGAGGCGGGGTGAGCCTAGGAAAGGAAGGGGCTGGACCTTGTGGAGGAATGAACAGTTGAGTGAAAGCCAGAAAAGAAGCAACCCAAGTCTGGCCGCAGGGAATGGGGAGCCATGTAGGGACCTCAAGTGGACGTGTGTCATGGCTGCCCTATGGAAGAACCCCACAGTCCTTCAGTAGGCAGAAGAGATGTGTGATGATCAGAGTGTTGAGACTGCCCTGCTTTCTGGAAGCGCAGAGCAAGGCAGGAAAGGGTCCTAGTCCCAGCCAGGATGTATCCTGGAGCCCCACAGTGGGCCAGATAAATGCTAAAAGCTCATCTGGGAGAAAACCCTGGGCTGCAGCCCCCAGGGCAGGCTTTCTGGAGGAGTTGGGACTCTAATAGGAGCAAAGGTTGAGTCAGATTCAGAAAGGAGATTGGGAGGGAGAGGAAGTCTGAGGGCACAAGGAAGGCAGCCCTGAGGGCTTCCACAGACTGCAGGTAAGATATGCCATTGAAGGTTTCTGAATAGTTCTTATGCACAGACTTGAAATTTCACAAGTGAGTGGGGGTGGGAAGGAGGTCTGATACCTGAGCTCTGCGTGCTAGGTACTGTTTTTGAACGCTTTCAGGATCTCAGCTCCTTCGTGGAGCAATCCCGTGAGGTCATGGCTGGTGCCACTCCCCCTCGGCAGAAAAACAGGAATGGAAGGACAAGAACTAGCTCAGGCTCACTGAAATTGAACCTGGCAGCTGATGAGTCTGCCTAACTACTACACATCCATGGCTGCTTCAGCTTTTATCCCTGCACCCCCGCGACCTCTGAGCCTCAAAGATGGGACGCTCCCCACCCCTGCAGTGCACAGTCCTGTTTGTCACCTTTCCACCTGCCTCTGCACACCTTAGCCTCTTACCCATTTCCCCGGGGAATCTGGGAGGTTTTGACACAACAAAAAACCCCAACACACACACATATAATATACACTGTCCAAAAGCAGCTGTAACTTTCAACATTTTCAAATAGTGAAGCTTGCCAACAACCTGCAAACAGAGCCCCTTGTGGGAAAAATCTGGATGCTTTAGTGTTGCTTCCCAGGAAACGGGGGGGTGCGGCGGGGGTGGTGGTGGTGGTGGTAAATGCTTGCATACCTAACACTGAGGGACCGCCACTTGTCTGGGGTTCTGCTGGCCGTCTGACCCGTTGCTGCTTCTGAAGGCAGAGCTATCTATAAAATATTTATTTTCAAGAAAATACAGCCTCTGATTGGCTAGAAGGTTTGCATTTTATGTGCTTATTGGTTGAGCATGAGAAGAGAAAGCCCACGGGCTGCCTTTGCACATCTTGTTCCGGAAGAATAATACCCACCTACCTGTGAGGAAGACTGCAGGAGGCAGTGGGCGTGGGTGAGCCCATCCGGGTGCGAGGGACAGGACCCTTGATGAAAGCCAGGGCCTTCTGGAAGTGTTTCGTTCATTTATTCACTAAATATTTAAGAGCCTACTATTGTGGCAGACGCTCTGCTAGGCACCGGGGATGCAGGAACAACACAGCATTCCTGTCCTGCGGTGACCTTCTAGTGAGTCATCAAGACACTACGTCAAAGTAAGCTAGGTAGAAAAAGCTGGGTGCACGAGGGAAGCGGGGAGGAGGGAGGGGCTGCAGCCTGCCTGAGGGGAATGGCTGCCATATTAAATATGATAGTAACATTTGCTGCAGGATGCATGCAACACAGTCGATACTGTAAGTAGACAGCGACGAGTTCGTTTACATCCCCACAGTTTCTAACTTCAAATGGGCCCAACATCTTTCGATATACCTTGTCACTGGGAAAAGTGGGCTAGAGCCTCATATTGTGGGTCCCCTCGTATTCGGATGTTTACGGTACTCTTAGCCGCGGGCGCCGCGGATCCTCTGGGCGTGGGCCCCGCCCCCGGCCGCGGCGCGCGTGCGCGAGGATAAAAGCGAGGCCCCGTGGGCGCGTGGTCAGTGCCAGGGCGGGGGCGGTGCGGCAAGTGGCTGCATGGCGCAGGGCGGAGTGCGGCGGATAGCGGCCCTGGGCCTGGCCCTGCGGCTGCTGCTCGGCTTTGGGCTGGGCCTGGAGGCCGCCCCGACCCCCGTCCCGATCCAGTTCTTGGCCCAGGCCCCAGGTGAGTGAGCTCCGCGCACCCCGCGCGCGCGCCCCTCGGGCGGCCCGGTCCCGCCCCGCGCGCCGGCTGCGCCTCGCCATTGGCTGTGCCACTTGTTCGTCCCGGACACTCCCCCGGCACGTGGCTGGAGACTCTGGCCTGCAGGGAGCCCGGCCTGTGAGCGAGCCATCTCCGGTGGGGGACGGTCGCCTGGGTGGCTCTGCCTGCTCACACCCCACTCCTGCTCTGCTTTGGAGGACCTCTTTGTCACCTCCAAGCCGCCCTTCAGCCCAGCGTGGGCAGGAAGGCTCGTTGTAGCTCTGGTTGTCCGACCTCTGTGCATGGCCGGTCACCTGGCGCCTCTTGCAGCAGCTGCGCCCCTACACCCTTGTCCGACCCTGAGGTCATATGGCTGAGTTTCCTGGGCGACCAGCCCCCGCCCTCCCCATCCCTGCGCCTTCCTCCTCTGGCCTTAGAGAACAAAAGGTTTCTCTCCCTCTCTGTGACCCCAGGCCCTTGGACACCTGCTCCTGGGCCTAAGTGATCTTGATGGCCCTCTCTGATGTTCCCAGAGGCAGCTGGGTGGGATAGAGTGACCTCCCTGTAGGCACAGGTGACCTCCCTTTCAGCTGTGAGTTCTTGTCTGATGTGGTCTCCTGCCTCACCCCAAAGCCCCTGCCTTTACAGGCTAAATGTTCCTGGTTCCTTTAAAGAGGCAGGACTCACTTTAACCAAGTACCAAACTCAACAAGTGGTCTCCTCTCCTCAGGACACTGAGATAGGGACTCCTAGCGTGCTCCTTATACAGGGGAGGGAACTGAGGCTGGGAGGGAAAGTCACTGGTCACTTTTCATGCCTGTCTGACCCCACAGCCCTAGGAGGCCTGGTCTCCTGTGCTCTGCCTCCCACTTTCCAGGAAGAACACACTCCAGGGAGGGAGGTCTGGAGGTTGGCAGGGCTGAGAATAGCTAGGCTTGGAGAGGAAGCCGCACCCAGAGACCGCCAGACGCCCCCCCCCCCCCCCCCAAGTGGGTAGGGAAGGAAGCCAGCTCCGGGTCTGGCCACAGCTCTTCCTGGCTTCAAAAGCTCAGGGACTGTGTGGGCCACAGGTATCATTGGGCTTGGAGGCCTGTGGAGGGACTGGCGATGGAGAGAAGGGGGTTGGGGAGCTCAGGCCCTCGGAGTAAAGGTGGAAGTGGCAAGAGTACCAGGATCGACTGGAGTGCCACTAGGTTGGGGCCAAGCAGGTATTTGCACCCCCCTCACTGAGCCCAGGAAGAGAGCCTTAAAGGCCATTCCTTTCCTCAGTCTGTCAGGCTCCCTCCTGCTGGCCCACGTTCTAGGCCCTTCTGTGCTCCTCCAGATCAGCATGTAGCCCGAGCCTCACTACCTGGGGTCCAGGAAGGCTCAGATCTCAATCAGGACACAGCCTTGATCCTTGTGTGACTTGTATCTGTACCGCCCTGGGCTTGCGGTCAGTACCGGCCCTTATCTTCACTGAGTGTCCAGTCTGTGTGGATACCAGTTTGAGGACCATTGTTGTAAGTGGAAGGCAGGGCTTCAGGCATCTCTGAGAGGTGCATGAGACCCTTTCCAAGAAAGAAGCTGAGATCTGAAGGCTGAGGAGGAATCACCAGTTGCAGAGTGGGGGGAGGAGAGGAGGCACTGGGCCAAGGATCAGCACAGGCAGAGTCCCTGAGGTGGAAATGAGCCGGGACTCTTGGAGAAGAGCGAGGAGTCCAGGACAGAGGGAGCTGGATGAAGAGGAAGAAGGAGGGAGTAGGTGAGGTCCAGGAAGGGTTCACGGCGGCGGGGCTGGGCCAGGCCTTACGGCCACATAGACAAAATAGGAATTTGGTGTGAAAGGGTCAGGGGACCAGGGCATGGTTTTGAGCAGAGGGGAGGGCAAGGGCAGGAGACTGAATGATGTGACTCAGGTCCCCAGTGTCCAGATGGAGATGGGGACGGGGCCTGGTGAGGAGATGGCACATTCAGGATGAGGAAAGTGGTTGGATCTGGAAGGAATTTAGGAGGTGAGTGGACAACCCTTGGCAACTAAGTAGGTCCTCTGCCCAGGGCCTCTGTTTCCCATTGGCTAAGCAGGTGGGATATAACAGGCCCTGCTGACCCAGACCATGGGCCCGGTCCAGGGCAGGTTCAGAGATGGCCCGTACCCCAGTCTGTTTAACCGTGGATTTTGGAGGGCCTCTTGGGGAGACTATCTGGCCTGAAGCCTGGTAAAGACTCGGATCAGTGAGACCTGGGTTCATACCTGGGCTCTGCCACCAGCCCTGCAGCCCGGGGCCTTGCCTCTCTCCTTAGTGCCTTCTGCAGCATGGGGATGGCAGTAGAACCTGCCCTCCAAGCCTCCC